GAATTTATAAGGATTTTATAAGGATTTTAAACTGATGTCGTTCAGTTTTATACGTTTATTACTGGTGTACGCAGGTGTTCACTGTGAAAAATTAGAGTGTGAAAATACTAGAAAAGACAAAAGAACAGACTAGAAAAAACAAAATAACTTATATTTTAAAACGGAGGAAATATATGTTTATATATAGTGAAAGCTAAGAAAAATAAAAATCATCAACTTTTAGTATTGTAAACGAACTTCGAAATGTTGACCCCCAAACAAAAACGTTTACAGATACTGATATATCTTTGTAATTTGTAGAAACGTATTTTAACGTAAACATAAATTTGAAAGTCGAAACCTATCATCTATCATCTAATCAAATTCTAACGAAAAGAGAAAAAACATGCCACATTGGATCAAAATCTTTGTAAGCATTTTTTTTTTATAAATAAAATCATATATATGAAAGAAGAAAGAACCTTTTCCCTTTATTTGACACATGTCCAAAGAAAACCAAGAGTCAATCTCCGTTTCCAAATATTTCAGTTTCACAAAATATAACTTCTCCTCTTCATCTTTCTCTCTTCGAAACTTTAAAGTTACTTCCCCAAATCTTATATTGCAGCTATGCAAGAAAAGTTCAAAGACATGTGATTGGCAAATCTTAATCTTCAAATAAAAGAACCAATTTCATAGTAATCGTAGGCAATCATAAGTAGAAAGTGTTTCTTTTGGTTGAATTTGTTGTCTCCAACGACCTTTATCCATGGTTGTAGATGTTTATTTTTCAGAAAACATTCCTAGCGGCGACTTAGGAAAATATGGGAATAAGTATGGGTTCATCGCGTTTATGAGTATAAAGAGTTATGTCTTAGGAAATCGTAAATTAAGCTATCCAAAAATATTGACTTGCGAAATGCATATAATTTTTTTAATAGAGAAATTGTGTCAGATCTTATAGTTTTACTGTGAACAGTATGTTTTCTATATTTTTACCGTTTCAAAGTTATAAGCATATAAAAATACAAGAAAAATAACATACAAAACTTGAATCAAAGAACTGCAAAGTCTTTGGTGTTTCAAATGCACCAATATAACTGGATTTTTTTTGTAACTAGAAATTGTATATTTTATTTTACACAATTAAAGCATTCAATTATACTT